AAAACAACGACCGCCAAAAAGTGGTGGCGGTGATGGAAAGGACAGCAACAAAGACAACAGCATCAACCGTCGATCCAACAGCCGAAAGAAGGGAAGTAGAAGCAAGAAGAATCGCCGCAGCAGCTCAAAGCACAAAAAGCATCGTAGTCATTCAAAGGGTCGCAGCCATGGTCACCACCACCGCCACCGAGGACATTCGCATTCAAAGAAGAAGCTTAGTGGCAAGTGCTGTGGCTCACCGGAAGGCAAGGGCAAGGACTCGCCTCGACCGAAGACCCCTCTTCCGCCTCCAGGTGGTGGAAAGGAGCCTGGCCTCGGTGACCAGAAGACGCCCATCAAGGAAAAGTCGTCGAGCGGAAAGCCGCCCAAGCAACAGTCGCCGGAGGATGGCGGAACAATGCTCATTGCTCCAGCCGACTACAAGGTATACTTTTTTAAATACATTTTTATCAAATCAAATCACAACTAATTTATTCCATCCACCACAGAACATTTACTCAGAGAAGAAGCAATCGCACTGATAGAAATGGATGTTTTTTTGTAAACATACACTTCAAACTAATAAACGCTATTTTAGCAATTTTAAACATTGATTGTGTAGTCCAATCTCAGTTCATGGTTGGCATCTCTCTGTCAATGGATGTTTCGGTTTGCAGTAAAACAAAAATCATATTCAAGGCAAAGCACAGGATTGTGAGAATCGCTGACTGCTCCAGCACATAAGTGCCACCAATGGTCACTTGAAACTTCTGTCTCATTTCGCAGATTTCTCCATAGCGCAGAAACGTTGTCAAATTCCACTGCTCAACCCTTTCAAAAATGGCCAAAGTGAACTTGTCGTACTGATTGATTGGAAAGTCGGCAGCCCAACAAACTGCAACCATTCGAGTCAAATCAAAAAGGGCAAAGGCAAAAATGAAAGACACATACACGGGGTGTTTGTCTTGGTTGATGATCACAAAGCAAGTAGCTCCGGTTATGACCACAATGTTGGCCGCCATGTTTGATGTTATTGGCACTGAATGATACTGTAAAGTGCGTCTAAAATGTTTGCTTAGCAATGCAAGCTCACTTTTAATCTCCAGCAAACTGGTCTCATCCAATGGTGCTGCAAAGACACGATTAGTTTTCTTAAAGCCAAAACAGTTTTCTTCACATACCCCCTTGTCCAATTAGACACTGTAAAGTGCGAATGTATCTGTAAAAGACAACCATAGTGTAAATGAATATGAGCGAAGTTACTGAGATGGCGACATAGTTTGTGACGTGCATTCCAGCAATAGACAACAGCGCCTTCAGCTCATTCAGCTGTTCATCGTTAAAGGTAAAATGACGAGCAAACGCAAACTGATAAAGCACGTTGAGAAAGCTGTTGTTGAATAGAATCAGAACAATAATCGTAACGCCAAACAGGGCAATCACCTGGCTGACCAGCAACTTCACCGCAATGGAATAGTCAGTGTCAATAGTCCTCTGAATGGAGGGCACTTTGCAGAGAACTCTAATCATTTCATTTCCAAAAATCAGATTGTAACTGTACACCACTATACTGTCGATCAGATGGACGTAGGCTAAAGACTGCACAATGTAGCGAAGTATCGGCTTTAACTCCTCCAGCATGTTGTCAAAGTAATAGCTTGCTATGAAGACATTGTTTTGGAAATTTGGTTTGTCATTTGATATGTTTGTTCGTACATTTTTCTGCATCACAACGAGGGACCAAATGAAAAGTACAATAGCGGAAATGTTAAGGGCAAGAGCGGTGATTCGTTGAATACTGTGCCAAAGTCGGTTTGTTAACAAATGTCTTTCTTCAAAAGTTGCAATTGCCGAGTCATTTTTTAGTAAATTGACAAAAACAGTGCCAGAAAAGGAAAATCCAATGAATCTAGAACATGTAAGATGTCAGATTATATTTTCAGTAGACTTTATAGTTTACTTACCGATATAACTTGACAAGTAATTGCAGTGATTTAGGACATTGTTCGGCTGGGAATCTCCAACTTGCCATATTTCTAGTTCAGGCTGATGGAAGCAGCAGTTTAGCAGTTTGAGTGTTTTGTATATTTTCAACAACTCGTTATTATCGATTAATGAGATAGGTTTATTCAACTTGCAAATACAGAGAAGTTGTTTTTGTATTTTAGTTACAACATATAATTAATGCTTGTAGTTTGTCAATCAATACTGTACTAGGATTCCAACTGAGAAATGTAAATTGAGGGGAATTATTTCAACAAAGCCTTATAAAGAAGTGGCAATAGAAAGAACACATTTTACTTGTCTTTGTCTGATTCTTCAACTTTTCGCTCTTTTGATATTAACTTCAAACTAGAAACTTTTAAGGCCTCCAATTGCACATCTTTAGATTCGATGACCTTTTTAGTCTCCGCAGCTTCTTCTTTCAGTTTCTTGATTTCATTCTCCATCTCCGCGATCATTTCCTTAATTTGGGATCCAACTTTTTGATTATCCCCGAAATTGGATATTTTTACCGTTTCATCACACTTCTTTTTAGAGCCAACGGTAGAATCATCAGACGCCTTCTTACTTTGCTCTTTGACAAACTGAGCATTGTTTTCCACTTGAGTTTTGAGTGCTTCCACTGAAATTTTCAGTTGTCCTTGCTCAGAGATAAGACCTGCAACTCGCTTAATTATGAACAGGCAAAACAGAGCGAATCCAGAAATGTAAAGGTTGCGTTGAGCACGATAAAGGTGAATTTGGTCTTCGTGGAACAAGATGCTCCCACTGTGATGACGGTGCTCATGATCATAGATTTTTCCGTTGTACTTGATGTTTTCGCGCATCGACTCGATGAAAAATAGCAAGAGAATGCCAATGAAGGAGCACAGAGTCAGGTTTGACTGTCGGGAAAGTGCCTCAAGGAAGCGACTTGTTAGCAATGATCGCCAAGTTTGAGGCTTTACGATGGACAGCAGCATTATGAAGATGATGCCAATCTCAATGTAGAGGAAACCGGCTATGAGGGTCCAGTGGAGCGACATTTTGCTGCAAAAGAAGTAAGACGGGTAAGACTTTAGATCCGATCCAAGAGAAATTACCTGGTTGTTGTTTAGCAAGAGAAGCGATGCTTCTGTGTGAAAGGCGAGAAGCAGAAAACGTGCTCATATTTGCGAGTCATAGAAACAGCAATTGTCGTCTAGTGGCAGCAGCATCGACCAGTGGCGCAATTTTTAAATTTGAAAAAACCGACTATGCAGCCTGTTACCCCACGGGGTGATGATTATAATTAAAGAAGAGGGATTGCTTTATTTATTAATCGCATCAATCTACAGTTTAAAGAGCGATGTTTTCATTAGATAAAGCTCTGCAGATCCGCTTGGAGTTATCACCAGGGAGATAAGCGCTAAACAGACTAGAGGTTTATAAGGACGAGCACTAGTGTCGCATTTCCTTACAGCATTTAGCATTTGCAAGACTACGATGCGCTCGTTTTTAGCGGTTCAGTGCCTTTTGGCATGTTTGGTGGCCGTCGCCTCTGGCGCAGACAAATTCGATCCCAAAGCGGTGATTGCTCAGGCAGCACTTCAGTATGAAAAGCTAGTTCATCAGTTGGTTCTCGGAAAACAATATCCCAACAGTGGGATACCGTCACACTCGTAAGTGCATGTTCTCATTTCAAAGTGCCATCAACTAAACGAACGATGTCCACAGGCACTGGTCACTGAACACTCACCCAACGGCGACGCACGTTGACTGGACTGATGGCTTCTTTCCGGGCGTTCTCTGGCAGCTGTACAACCACACCAAGGACACCAAGTGGAGAGATTGGGCTCGCACGGCCACACATGGCCTCGAGTCGCAGCAGTACAACGTGGGCACGCATGACATTGGCTTTCTGGTGCTGTGCTCCTTTGGCGATGGCTTTGTTCTCACGAAGAACCACAGCTACCCGGCTGTGATCACCACTGCGGCCAACCACCTGGCAATGCGATTCAACAGTAAGTATTGTTGGTGAAGTGAGTTGCCGAGAAGGCGATATTAAAGAGTTATGTCTGTCCTTTCAGAGAAGGTCGGCTGCCTGCGTTCCTGGGGCCGAATCAATGAGACGCACAACTATCTGGTCATCGTCGACAATATGATGAACCTGGAGCTGATGTTCGCTGCCAACGGCTTCCACGCGAACCACACCTTGGTTGAGATGGCCATCTCCCACGCAAATCGTACCGCCAAGGAGCATATTCGAGCAGATGGAAGCTCCTTTCATGTGGTAGACTTCAACCAGACCACTGGCCATGTCCACCGAAAGTACACCGCTCAGGGCTACTCTGATGACTCGTGCTGGTCTCGTGGGCAGGCCTGGCTAGTCACTGGCTTCACCAGCATCTACGGGCACACTCGAATGGCGCACTTTCTGGCCACTGCTGAGCACGTCGCCTCGTACTTCATCAGTCACCTTCCTCATGATGGCATTCCCCCGTGGGACTTTCGAGCACCCCATGATGCCCAACACCAGTACGTGCCACGAGACGTCTCCGCCGGCGCCATCGCCTCGGTTGGCCTCTTTGAGCTGTACGGACACACTCACAACAAGACCTACCTGAACGCGGCCCACACCATTGTCCGGTCGCTGGGTTCGCCCACCTACATGGTCAGTGGTCACCCACAGTACCATTTGCCTGCTCTGCTCGCCAACTCGACCATCTCCAAGGCGGCCACACACCCCGAACTGGCCGACCATTCGCTGATCTACGCCGACTACTACTACTTGAAGGCTCTAGGGTATCTTCATCAGTACCCCATCAATTAAATGTGCCGATTAGACTTCAATAAAAGCCTTCCGTGTTAATTAACCAAGTGACGCCAGAATTTGCCGCTTCGTGCTGTGCAGTGTGCACTGCTCTGACTCACGCTGCTTTTCCTCAGCCAATCACAGACAGCCAAAGCGTTTCGCGCACGAGTCAAAGCTGGGCGTCTCGAAAGGTAAACAAATCGAACATCATTTGATCTGCTGCCATCAGCTGATCAAGATCACCATGAATCCGGTACTGGCCCACTGTGGCCATTGCCAGGAAATCCCTAACGCTAAAACTGCCTCAAAGTTTTTCCTAACTGGTTGCGGGCAAGTATTCTGCCAAAAGTGCCTCGGCCCTCAAGGAATCTGCAAAAAATGCGGCAAAAACTGTGCTCGCCGGTCAATAACCAATTCATCGGTTGGCAATTTGTTCCAAGATCCGTCTTCAAAGATTGCTCAACTGCAACAAGCAATTGGCTTTCAGTCATCTCGTTACAAAGCCTTTTTCAAAAGCTCCAATGCTCGTTACGCCGATTCGCTGAAAGCACTCAAAGAAAAGGATTGCAAACTTTGTATCCTTGAGAAGCAATTCACTGAAAATCGCAATGTTATTAAAGAGTTGAAGAAACAGTTGCAACTGCAAACATCTTTTCAAACAACCTCCAATCCTGCAAATAGCACAATGAATACAACTCGTGCTTCGAATCACAGCCCTTATGGCATTTTTCCGAGTAACACATATCATCACAGTCCTTCATCAACTAATCGACGCAATCATCAAAATAACCTTTCAGCAGAACAACTTTACCAGTCAACTCCATTGCCAGGCCGTAATCGCCCAAGTCTGAAAAATTTTGTTCCAAGTCGAGAAAAATCAATTTCAATGATTGGTTATAATCGCCGTTAACCTTTTTTAAGTTTATTTAAATTTATTTTGAAACAAATTAAATGTAATCAAATCGCTCAAAATTGCTTCACTCCTTCGCCAAAAGCTCAATGTACTTTGGTCGGTAGGAGTCAGTCAGCTCTTCTGGCAGCAATCGGCGAACGGGCACCACGGTAGTTAGTTTCTCCGGAATGACTGGCTGACGGGGAATGTAGAAGGCTGAACTGGCCATGCTGTAGCCCAGACCCAGGCACCTCTCGTAGAGCTTGTTAGTCTCTCGATTGTAGACATGGTTCGGCTGTGGGGCGACCAGTTCTCCATTGAGAATGTCCACGTACAGACCGGCATCAGGCTGGAAGATGTACTGGTGAACGGGCACGAAGACCATGCCACTCGGCGGGTGGTACAGCTGACCAGTGAATGAGTTCTGCATGGACACACTTGGATCGAGGAGGTAGTATGCCTCGCCGGTGTTGCCCTTCACCTGAACGATACCGTCCTTTTCAGTGGCTGCAGGCTCCTGCAGATAGGGGTCCAGATGAGCGATGGTGGGCCACAGGAGAATGGCACGCTTCAAGTTCTTTAGCGGCTGCTGTCCACTCGGTGTGTTGCTGTCATCATCAGCCTCGTCGTCCTTTTGCTCCTTGGGCTGGCCGCGAACAAAGAGAAAGAGAAGTGGAAAAAAAGCCAGTGGAGTTAACACAAAGAACACAATGAGGGCCCACTTGATGAGAAAGCCGCCCATCGGAAAGTCGCTTGTTCCCAGATGGCGATGGTGGTCCTTATGCACCAGATCCAATTTGCCCAGTTTGCCTGCCACCTCAAAATGTCCCTCATCGAAGGCCAGAACTTTGCTTTGAACAAAATCGTCCGGAACAATGTCATTTAGAGTGTCATTTTGAAGAGAAGATACTGATGGAACAATGTTCAATGTTACAAGAGTTGCCCCAAAACACAGTAAGAAGCGCATATCTGAGATGGGATTTAGCAATTGGAATACAAATCAAAGAAACTCAAATTGCCAGATGACTGGCGGTTTGGCGAATAAGATGACTAATTTTAAAGCAATTGGCTCAATATAAAACTTATTCTGCTTTACATAAAAAGCTCTAAATGTAACAATACTTTTTAACCTGTCTAAAAAATGCTTCAACAAAAATGTTTTCTATTTTACAGGACAACCATGGGTCAATGCTGCAGCGACAGCACCAAAGATATCGACGGAGAGATAAAACTAGATGAGAACTCCGCATCTGCTGACCATCGCTCCAAAAGCAAGCAAAAGAAGCCATCAGAAGAGAGTCGNACACCAAAGATATCGACGGAGAAATAAAACTAGATGAAAACTCCGTATCTGCTGACCATCGCTCCAAAAGCAAGCAAAAGAAGCCATCAGAAGAGAGTCGACAAAAGTCCGGCTCAAAGAGCGGCAACAACATTAAATCGTCGGCTTCAAAGACGCTGCTAACTTCTCAATGCGGCTCTGTCACCTCAGACCGTCTTGCACAGCGCAAGCTCGCTCAGGGACCAGGGCCAAAGATAAAGGTTGACATGAAGAAGATCATGGCGAATCTTCGCGAGAAGCAGACCATGCGCAGCGATGTGGCTCTCATTGGTACCGGTGGGCGAGTGAAGTCAGCCGCCGGCAAGTTAGCCAGCGCTGGTCATCTCAAGTCAGCAGCGTCGAGTGATCAAGGTGGTGGTGGCAATGACACAAAGTGCAACAAAAGTCCGCCAAGAATGAGCAGCAGTGGAATCAATCGAAACAAAAACAACAACAATTCACGTCAAAAGGCTCACTCCGACCACCTTTTACAGCGTTGCAAGAAAAAAGGCGTCCATCAAAAGAGCACCAATGGAGAAGGAGGAGGAGGAAATGGTACTCGCAAGTCGAAATCGAGTCCTCGTTTTGTGGAGGACGAAACTTGAAAAAAGAGGTGCTGCAACAGCACACATTTTAAGATAATAAATGATCTGTCCACAATGTGTCATTTAGATTCATCGAGGAGTTTCATGTAATTTAAAACTATGATACAAAAGTACAAAAATTTAAAGGACTAAAGGTGTACNAAACAGTGTGTCATTTAGATTCATCGAAGTTAGTTTCATGTATTTTAAAACTATGATACAAAAGTACAAAAATTTAAAGGACTAAAGGTGTACAAAATGTGGTATGATAAACAAATGTAGAGTGGTATCAAATAGGGGGTTTTAGAGTAGTTTTTTGTATTCCTAGTGCAGTAAAAACAAGTAGTAAAAGCAATATATAAATTGTAAAAACTTTGAGGCAACATATTTACATCTAATACAAATAGAAAATGTAACAGCTTTGTTTTATAAAATGTGACTGACCATTCAGCCGCAGTTTAGAGTTGAGTGTCGCCGCTATTACAGATGTCGATGCTATAGTCGATGTAATCGATGATGCAGCGGTAGAGAAAGTCGTACTGAGCCTGCAAAAGAATGAAAAAATGATCAGTATACGTCTTCTCCACCGCCCTGTCTAAGCAGACTTACAATCGTTTTGAGCATGCATTGCCGTTGAGAGCGAGTGTACCGTGCCGTCTGAAAGATATCTAGCCTCTCCTCGAGGCGCAACTGCTTGACCAGACTGGCAAAGGCCACAAAAACACTGGAACGGTCGCCGCCGCCGCTGCAGTGCACCAGCAGCGGCGAACTTNCCACCGCCCTGTCTAAGCAGACTTACAATCGTTTTGAGCATGCATTGCCGTTGAGAGCGAGTGTACCGTGCCGTCTGAAAGATATCTAGCCTCTCCTCGAGGCGCAACTGCTTGACCAGACTGGCAAAGGCCACAAAAACACTGGAACGGTCGCCGCCGCCGCTGCAGTGCACCAGCAGCGGCGAACTTGAGGTGGCATTGTTCGCCAGGACTGCGTCCACCAGAGTGAAGAGGGCCACGGTGGACTCGGGCACAACGCCACTCTTCCACGCCAGAAACTGGTACTGAATCACCGTGTGGGGCTCACCAGTGCTCTGCGGAGAAGCAGGGAAGGCATTCATTAGAGAGTGTACACATTTTACAGGACAACTACCACAATCTTCACAAACCTTTTTCGATATGAGAGAGAAGACTCGCTTGGTGTAATACTGTGACATTTCCTCCTCAATCAGCTTCACCTTCAGTTGATCACAGTCAAATTCGTCAGCTGGCCAGTAGCAGTGGCACTTGCTCTGGCCCTCGCCCAGCTCGGAGAGCACCACCAGTGTCTTCACACTGTGTTCTACAATCATCCACCAGAACTCATTGGTGGTGTGCTCCATTGGATCCTGGGCCACGATAAAGGACAACGCGTGGTCGTAGCCCTGTATGAAGGAGGCGTTTATGTAGAAGGACTGGTCCTTGCTGGCCACCGTCGGACTGAGAATGACCCGATTGACGTCGTCTAGGGAAACAAGTTACAATGAAAGTGCTGAAGTGATGAAAAACCCCAAAAAAACTCACAAGGAATGATAAAGTCATATCGATTTTTGTCCATATATTGATCCATCATTCCGACTATGCAGGACTTTGGATCTTCCATGACTTCATTCAGCTTCTCAAACTCGAGGATGATGCCATTGCCGCACTCAAACTTTTGCTCTTTTAGCTNACCCAAAAAGACTCACAAGGAATGATAAAGTCATATCGATTTTTCGGCCTGTTCATGTCCATCATTCCGACTATGCAGGACTTTGGATCTTCCATGACTTCATTCAGCTTCTCAAACTCGAAGATGATGCCATTGCCGCACTCAAACTTTTGCTCTTTTAGCTGTTTGTAGTGGTCCGCCAGGTGGGCGGCCTCAACCTCGGTGTCTCCGTACTCAATGTACTCCATGACGGCTCGGTAGANGTTTCTCAAACTCGAGGATGATGCCATTGCCGCACTCAAACTTTTGCTCTTTTAGCTGTTTGTAGTGGTCCGCCAGGTGGGCGGCCTCAACCTCGGTGTCTCCGTACTCAATGTACTCCATGACGGCTCGGTAGACGAAGATGTACTGTTTGATGGACTGCACGAGAAAGCTTCGCTGGTACCGCAGCTGAGAGACACAGTCGAAAATGTTGATGTGCGTCGCACCGTCGTCAATCTGTCGAATGAGACTGTCGATGGCGATGAAGGTGCCAGTCCGACCGACCCCAGCTGAGCAGTGCACCTTTAGTAATAAAAAAAACACAAAAATGTGTTGTAAATAAACCGACATAAATTCACAAAAAGAGCACTCACCAAAATGGGCCCCCTATCCGGACAATGGTGCTCATTGACACGTTTGATGAGNCGGTAATAAAAAAAACACAAAAATGTGTTGTAAATAAACCGACATAAATTCACGGAAACAGCACTCACCAAAATGGGCCCCCTATCCGGACAGTGGTGCTCATTGACACGTTTGATGAATCGCAGCAACCACGAGGGCTGCTCCGGCGCGAGAAAGTCTCTCCAGGCAATAAAGTGAAAATGCAGCACTTCCCTCACAATGCCCGTGTCCAGATTTTGAAGCGTAAACCGGCGTATAACGTAGTCCGAGTAGTCGCGACGACTCGCCAGCGTCACACGCAAGTGGGCCGTCACATCGGTGGGCTGGTCATCGCTCCAGTACTGGGCGCACTTGATTCGGCCCTGTTCTTCGATGCCCGTCAGCATTACAATCACCTGACATGACTGCTCGTCGATGAGCCGCCAAAAGTCGCCGATGGTTCTCTGAATGGGACCTTGTGCAGAGATGAACTGCTTCTCGTTGACCACTACGTGGTTGGCGTTGATGTAATCTGAGCCAGGAGCATCGTCAATTTTCGACAGGCAGACTCTGGTCTGATCGTAACACGGAATATCCGGGTACCGGTTTTTGTCAGGATTTTTATCACAATGAACTGTCGTTCGATCGGGGAAGCTTGCACTTCCAGGAAGAGTTTCAAATTCTGAAATGAAACATTAATAATAAATTCTTCCACATCAATCTTTAGACTAAAACTCACCAGCT